GTTTAGGGTTTATAGGTTTTAGGGTTTATAGGGTTTATAGGGTTTAGGGTTTATAGGGTTTAAGTTTTAGGTTTTATAGGGTTTAGGGTTTATAGGTTTTAGGGTTTATAGGGTTTCGGGTTTGAGGTTAAGAGCTTGAGGTTTGAGGTTTAGGGTTCAGGGCTTGAGGTTTGAGGTTTAGGGTTTACCGTTTAGGGTTTGAGGTTTAGGGTTCTTTAGGGTACCTTCTAGTGTATGGGGCTAAGAGCTGCTCAGCTGCCCTTGTATCAACAGTCGCTGGCAGGGATTTTCTTAACCCAAATCTTCAAAACCTCAAAAAATAGGCCACTACGCTTAAAACAAAAACCTCAACACCCCAAAGCCAAAGCCAAAGCCAAACCCGAAACCCCAAAGCCAAACTAAAACCTCAACACCCCAAAGCCAAACTAAACCCGAAACCCCAAAGACGCAGAGGTGGATGATGAACCGCCGGAGAGACCCGAAAAAGCCACTCGAGGACACTCTGCTGCACCCGGGGGATGCTTTTGCTTCAAGGCTTAGGGTTTATATAATGTAGGGGCCTTTATGATTAGAATACGGTTTTTGGGGGGTTTCCTTTTATTGTTATAGAATGTCGCCAGACCTTATTGAAATGAGTAAATCCCCATATTATGGGGAAGGGGCTTTGGGCTGAGGGCTTATGTTTATTTTTCAGGGTTCCGGGTTTACGCTTTAGGGCGCACTTCGTCAGGGTCTATCTCAGCTAGGGTTCATCGACTGACAGATACCGTCTGAACTGTCATGTCTCGAGCAAAACAACAACCTTCACCCCTCTGTAATTTAGGGGCCAGAATACTTACCCATACTATTTTGGAGTCTCCCTGTTATAACTGTAGTAGAATATACACCCAGGCGCCTATACTATGTAATCACCCCTCAAACCAAGCCTTAAGTTCCCGAAGTCGCATTCCCCAGGCTTCCTAAAAGCCTTGGGCCCCGGAGCTTTGAGAGAACGAGCTCAAGTTCTGATCTAGCAAACTCGAAACCTTACCCTTAGCAGCAAAGTAGCACAAGAACCTTATATAATAGGGTCTTTGGGCCGGAAAGCCTTATCCTCAATTCCTTAAAGCCTAAATCCGGGAGTCCCGAAGAGGCATGGCGGATGAAGAGACCATCGAGCGATGCAGAGCCCTCTATGCTTCGAAGCTGGATGAGCAGCTGCTGCAAGGGACCAGGCCGGAACTGTTCGGGTGGTGGGTGGCTTCAGGTTTCAGGGTCGAGGGATGTAGGGCCATGTAGGGATTTTAGGCTCTGGGGTTTAGGCCCTCGGGTTGTTGCGGCGTACGGTTCTTGTTAGGGCTTGACGGTTCCCTCGACGGTTTCGGCCTCAATGCCGAAGCCAGGCAGCCCTGTCTGCTCATTGCAGATCGGTTGCTTTCGTGGCTATGGCGGCAGCACGAGCAGGAGCAGCAGTAGCAGTAGCAGTAGTGGCAGTAGTGGCAGTAGTAGCAAAAGTAGCAGACGTAGCAGTTGTAGTCGCATTGTCGTACGTAGCAGCAGCAGCAGCAGCAGCAGCAGCAGCAGCAGCAGCAGGAGGTACTGCTGCTGCTGCGATTACTACCGCTTCTGCAACGACGAAGACGACTAATTACTATTGTACTACTACTACTACTACTA